AAAACATATAACCACAAAGACAAAGACAACAGACCACACGAGACACACAATCAGGGGTTAACGGAGTCTATAGACAGTTAATAATAACTTCAGCCTTAGGGTCAGGGCCAGTAAATCTCTCCGTCCTGCGGAGCTGTAAGCCCTTCCTCTTCCACCAAAGAGATAAGAAGACCATAAATAATAAGTTCTTTGAAATTTACTACTGTTAATTTATTAAGCAAATAGTTAACTTGAAAAGATTTCTCTCTTGCTTTTTACAAGCAATCTTGGAACCTAGTCAGACTTTATTTTAGCCTTTAAATCTACCCTAGCACTTTAAAATTTCAATTTAACATAGTGAATTTACAACCCAGGTAAGAGCAACTGATAGACAGAAGTTTTTGTTAGCGAAGTGGGCTGATTCCTTCTGTAATGGCGAGCAAAAGACTCTGAGAACTATTAGAGACTTCTTGCAGCCCACCGCGGGTCTAGTCTAAACGGTCAGCCAGATGAATTAACAGAAATGCAAAATAAATCAAAGTAGCTTTCACTTTACACAGACGAGTTAATAAGCAGCCAAACACTCGTATTCACATTCTCTCAGTAGACTAGCCCAGACTGGAGCTGAGCAGATAAACAAAACAATGCCCAACTCCCCAGATGGGCATGGGGGCACTCCTGGCACCCATGTCCCAGAACAGAATTCTCAACCAACGTCTTGGTGAGAACCTACCGGAGGAGTTAAGACTGTGCCCAGTCCCCCTTCTTGGTAGCAAATTGGCTAGTCCTACACAAACAAACAGCTGTTCACTCAGAGCTTAAATAAATTCCCAAATGCTAAACAAATTTCCAAGTTTAAATAAATTCTAAATTCTAAATAAATTCCAAATTCTAAATAAATTCCAAATTCTAAATAAATTCCAAATTCTAACAAATTCTAAATTCTAACAAATTCTAAATTCAAAACAGATTCCCAATTCCTGAGGGATTCCCAATTCCTGACAGATTCCAGATTCCTGAGGGATTCCCAAAACCTGGGGGAGCTCTATGTCTCCCCGGGAGGTGATCAAGCTCCCCTTCCACTCATTTCGAGTGGGCCAGACGGTAGGGGGTTGGGGCCCCTACCTTAAAAATTCTGCAGACAGGTCCAGAAGTGTCCGTCCACGCTCTCCAGATGCCGGCTAGGTCCTGGGCTGAGGCCCGGGAGTGCCTGGAGTTCCCCCGGTTCAATTCTGCTAAATCAGCAGAGCGGCGCCTCCCGGGGGGCCTATCTAGCTCCCCCAGTCCTCAAACCCAGTCCACACCAGAGGCCAAGAGGCCACGATGGGTGGTTCCCTGGTCTTCTCGGTCAGGGAACCAATTATGTTCCAGAAAAAACCGGACCAGAACCAAACAACGCTCTGAGAGTTTGGAGTTACACTTTATTCACCGTGGCGGGCTTAGGGAAATGAATCCAAATCTAAGCAAAGCTACAAGCAGAACTTCCCTTTTTATAGAAGAGCCAGCCCTTTGTGTGCTTGTTGGTGGCGGCCTTGAAAACTATACAGTTCTATCCAATTAAAAAATGCACCTGGCATAGCATTGGATGTATCTAGTCTCTGGCCTACAAGGTCAGAGAGCTAAGTTTATCTCCCCCACTATTCAAGCAGGCTAGAAAGCAAAGTTACTTTTTCAGAATAAGAGGCCGTCTAAAGAATAGCAGAGAATTCCAAACGGTAGTTTTACAGAATAGGGGTTTTCCTTCACACTAGAACTTGCCTGTGTTGATTACTTGGCAGTGATCTGAAGTTAGGCACTTTGCTGGGGAGGCTGGGAAATACATTTTTTTTCTTGAGTAACCATGTGCTTAGCTAAAATTCTAGTTATGTGGAAGAAGGGGACAATGGATACTGGTCAAATAACAGTAGTCTCTGATTCTCCTTTTATTGCAACTTTGTGTTTTCTGTTATATTACTTCCAATATAATTAACTTTCTCTTTTTATTTAAAACTCACTCAAGTCTTATCTGGGATAAAAATCTTTCACAAACTTGAAGCCTTGAATCATAATTTTATCTGTCTGTCTATCTATCTGTCCTTTCAAATTAGCATCTAATCTATGTAGAGAAAAAATAGAGGAAAATTTAAAGCAGTAGGATTCAAATAAAAAACACTAGAACTGATAATTAATAGTGACTTGATATGTATTTGTGTACTGTGAAATACTAGCATAATTGGAATATATAGTTTCAGTTCCTAGAGTGAGAATTTAGCACTGTGCTTTGAGTGTAGTGATGAGGTTGCTTATAACTCTGTGTATCAGTAGCAGAGTTTATGATTAGGGAAAAGACAAGACCAGACAGGACAAAAATAGTTTTACTCAACTGCACTAGAGATTCTTCAAATGCTTTGATATTCGATATTCATCTTTAGTTGGGTTTCTTTCTTTTGGTTGCATTAATTTTACTGCTAAAATGTCTTTTATGCCTATATCTGTTAGGGTAGTGGAGAATTATCTATAATAATAAAAGCATAACATGCTAATTAGACTGGACGTCCTTCCAGATGTCCTTCCTTCCAGATGAAGCTTTAGCGCAGCAGCGGGGGCCGAGCCCTTTGCATGAATTTCATATCTGTTTCTATGAAATAAATTATTTTTTGTAACATAATCATACTTTAAACTTAGTAAAAGCCCCTTACAAGCATTTAATATCAACTTAATATTCAATTCCCCCTGATCATCTCATCAATATCTTTTTACAGTTGACTTTTAGAATCAGGATCCAGATAAAGCCCATCCCTTGCATCTGATTGTTTTTTTACATCTTTAAGATTCCCTTAACTGGTAACGCCCTCTTTCTTTTTAGCTAAGATCTGGTCATTTTCCTGCCCCATTCTTCACATTCTGGTTTCAGCTGCATGCAACTCCACAGTGTATTTTACCAAACATTCATGTTATATTCCTATTTCTTAAAAACTGCTAGTTAGAGCTAGAACCTAGAATAGAGTCAGGCTGGATTGGTGGGATGGGGGAGGTAGAGCAAGAATACTTCACAGGTGAGAAGTGTAATTCTTACTTTTTCCCTTTTAGTGATGCTAGGATTAATCATTGGATTCAGGTGTTATGAATCTTATGTAATGCTTATAAATAACTAGAGGCCTGATGCATGAAATTCGTGCAAGAGTAGGCCTTCCTTCCTCCGGCTGCCAGTGCCGGCTTCCCTCTGGCACCCAGGACCTGGGCTTCCCTCACAGCCCCAGCTTTGTCCGGAAGGTCATCTGGAAGGACGTCTGGAGGGATGTCTAGTCTAATTAGCATATTATGCTTTTATTATAGACTAGAGGCCCGATGCACAAAATTCATGCAAGGGGTTCGGCCCCGCCACCACGGCAGCTGCCTCGGACCCCACCCTCCACAGTTTGTCTGGAAGGAAGGACGTCTGGTAGGATGTCCAGTCTATTTAGCATATTATACTTTTATTATTATAGATAATACCTAATTTGGGATTTGCTAAAAATAAATACATTGGCTGGTAGAAAAGTGGACATGTAGCTTAGGTAAGACAAGAGTGGCTATTATTACAGACGAAAAATAGGTACATGCAAATACATTATACTATTCCGTAATAAAAATTTTATAAAATGTCATCTTAATCTTACTCATTTGAGAACAGTTAAAATTTTTTTTTTTTAATTTTTATTGAATTTATTGGGGTGGCATTGATTAATAAAATTATATAGGTTTCGGGTGTACAATTCCATAGTGCAGCATCTGTATATTGTATTGTGTGTTGTCACCACCCCAAGTTGAGAACAGTTTTAATCCACAAATAGAAAATCATTCAGTGTTTTGTTTCTCAGAGCCTATCTTGTATAGAAGCAAGATTTATGCAAATGCAGAAATTATTCAATAGTATTCTTTTCAGGGTTTATTGAAAACATTTCAGCTTTCCTTTCCTGGTGGAATGTGATTTTGATATTGCAAAACAAAAGTCGAGGTTTTATCAGATATACAGTTAAATTTTATTTGTGGTAGTCATATTCCATAAAGTCACTGCAAACATGAATCTGTAAGTGTTGAAGCATTGCTCCTAGGAGAAATACAGGGTTAGGTGCCTTTGAGCCTCTAGTTAGAACATTTCCACCACCCGATTAATACATAGTATTGTTTTATTTGTGTTTCTGTTGAAAGACACCTTGTTTAATGTATATTGTTGACTCATTGTCGTTGAACTCACAGTCCTGCCCCCCAGCTCTGTAACGCATGCCTGAAGGAAGCTCATTTATCAAACATGTTTTCTCCGTAAGGCACATCACAGCCTTCTTGGACTTAGGAACACCAGAGTGCACTTAAGCCCAAAACTCGGGGGCCATTTTAAACAGTGAAATCATCCTAGGCCTCCCCCTCCCCCCCCCCCCCCAAAAAAAAGAGAATGTGGCACTAAAGAAACTGTGAAAAGGATAGTTGTTTACAGTATGAGAGCTGAAACAAGAGGGCAGAGTGTCACCTTGTTTGATTTCAGCTGGGACACATGTTGGGAATATCAAATTTTTTTTTGCTGCTCTGAGCTTGTTTGTGAATGACCACAAAAGTGCTGAGTATTAATTTTGGGGTTAGAAGTAACTTTTAGCAAATAGGAAAGTTTGTAAATATGGAGCCTATGAGTAACAAGGATCAATTGTATATGTTAGTTTCCAAGAATTTATTTTTTTCCCAATCTTAGGTTGAAATGATTCTAAATATATATGTTAAATTTTACTAATTGAAAATTACTGAGCTGAAGTAGTTGTATATTTTATAAACTGATTGAAGTTGCAGTATAATGTGGGACGTTCAAATGCTTTATAAAAATCTCAAGTTGATTTATTTAAACATGTGCTTAATACAATAAGCATATAAGTATATGTGAAGCATATAATATGAAATCTTAAATTGATACAGATGATCAGATCTGAGTAAATTTTAAGGACTTTTTTTATATAATGTACACAAAAGATAACTTGATTTTTGTTCAAAATGTTCCACTCTTTCTGTACTTGCAGCATTTTTCTGGATTCTGAGACTCGGAGAGCAATGGGAGAGCAAGCTGTCGCTCTTGCCAAAGCAGTCAAGTATTCTTCTGCTGGAACCGTAGAGTTCCTTGTGGACTCAAAGAAGAATTTTTATTTCTTGGAAATGAATACCAGACTCCAGGTAACAAAAACTCAGTTTCTTATTCCACTCCATGTCTCTATACTTAACCCTTCCTTGCTTACCCCTTTCCGTGTTTTATAAAAGTTAAAAATCAACTTCAGAAAATGTTAAATAAAGACTGTTTTTATGCTTTGCTAAGACATCTTAGGAATGGTGGATAGTGTCAAGTTAATTTGGTGGCAGGATCTAGCCTTCTGTTTTGTTACTGTTAATACTTCATATGGGAAATTCTAATTTTTTTTATTGAACCTCTCTCGATGAACTACTCTAGATATGATAAATAGAAAGGGATTAAGTGCTTACACATCTTTGAAAGGGATTAATGAGAGAAGGGCACCTAGAGTGAGCTTTCCTTTTTCTTTTATTTAAATTGTGAACTATAAATAAACATAGAGAAAGGTACCTAAAACACAAACAAATAGTTACGCAAATTATCCTATATAATAGAGGTAATATGCAAATTGACTGTCACACCCTCGCACAAATGGCCGCTCCCATGTGGTCACAAGATGGCTGGCAGGGGAGGGCAGTTGTGGGTGATCCGGCCAGCAGGGGAGGGCAGTTAGGAGCAACCATGTCAGCAGGGGAGGGCAGTTGGGGGCAACCAGGGTGGCAGGAGAGGGCAGTTGGGGTGACCAGGCTGGCAGAGGAGGGCAGTTAGGGGCGACCAGGCTGGCAGGGGAGGGCAGTTGGGGGCAACTGGGCCAGCAGGAGAGGGCAGTTGGGGCAACCAGGCCTGCAGGGGATGGCAGTTGGGGGTGATCCAGCCGGCAGGGGAGCAGTTAGGCGTCGACCAGGCTGGCAGGAGAGTGGTTAGGGGTGATCAGGCTGGTAGGCAGAGTGGTTAGGGGCAATCAGGCAGGCAGGCCGGCAAGTGGTTGGAAGCCAGCAGTCCCGGATTGTGAGAGGGATGTCCGACTGCCTGAAGGATCGGGCCTAAACCGGCAGTCGGACATTCCCCCTAGGGGTCCCAAATTGGAGAGGGTGCAGGCTGGGCTGAGGGATCTCCTCCCCCCCCCCTGCCCCGCCCCAGTGCATGAATTTCGTGCCCTGGGCCTCTAGTTAGAAATAAAAAATCCATGGAAGCATAATCTGGGTCTAGAAGTACAAAACTGCCAGCACTTTGGCCTTGCTCCCATCGCCTCCTCCCCCTTCTCCCTTTCTCAGCTCTTCCTCCTTCTCCTTTCCTAGAGCTGTGTACTATTCTGACCTTATTCTAAACACCTCCCGGCATTTCTCTGTAGCTCTTCCTTTGAAATGTACACACCTAAGCAGTATAAATAATTTTGCCTGTTTCTTATTTTTTTTTTTTTAACTTTAAATCAGTGGGATCATATAAATTTTTTTATGTAATTTTTTTGTACCTGGTTTCTTTTCTCAATATTATGCTTAGGAGAATCAACCTTGTTGTTTTATGTAACTCCCAAATGATACTCCTTTGGAGAAAATGCCACTGTTTATCTTTTTTATTTCTTTTACTTGTGGATATTTAGTTTGTTTCCACTTTTTTGCAGTTTGTATTAGTTTGCTAGGGCTCTAGTAACAAAGTATCAGAAACAGGGTGGCTGAAACAATAGAAATTTATTCTCTCAAGTTTCAGGAGGCCAGAAGTCTGAAATCAAGGTGTTGGTTTCTTCCTGGGACGTCTCAGGAAGAATCTGTTCTCTGCTTCTCTCCTAGCTTCTGGTAGCTGCCAATAAGCTTTGGTATTCCTTGCCTTGTTGGCAGCATAACTCCAATCATCACATGGCATTCTCCCTTGTGTTACTATGTCCAAAGTCCACCCCCCCCTTTTTTTTTTTATAGGGACACTAGTCATTGATTTAGGCCCCACTCTAATCCAGTATGACCTCATTTTAACTTCATTACATCTTCCAAGAACCTATTTCCAGATAAGGTCACATTCATAGGTTCTGAGCAGACAAGCATTTTCAGGAGACACTATTTAATCCAGTACATAATTCAAAACCACATGTGTCAGTAATTCATTAAGCTGTACATACATGTGTTGTATATACTTTTCTCTTTGTATGTTATATTTAACAATAAAAAGTTTTTAAAGATAAAACACATATGGTCTATAGCAGCAATTTACAACCTTTTTTATCTCGTAGCACATATAAACGAATTACTAAAATTTTGCCGCACAACAAAAAATATATATTTTTGCTGATGTGACAAAAAAGGTATAATTTTGATTTATTTAAAAAAATAATAGTAATTACCTACCCTTTGTGCTCCAAAGTGACTTTTTAAAAAATCAGGTGCCTATACTTGTATATAAGGATTTCTGATACCAAGAATTAACCAATCAGATGGAACCTTACTATGTATGTATAAGATGCAACTCTACTATAGGTCCTATATATTTATGGTTCAAGACAGGGTATTCACACGATGGCTTTTTTTTTTTTTTTACTTGACAATCTAAGGGAAAAGAGGTCAGTGCTCCTGATTAAATAGTCAAGTGTTGCATGCATTAAAAATTCTTGCGGCACATGAGTTGAAAATTGCTGGTCTATAGTGACAGAAAATAGATTAACGGTTGCCTAGGACTGAGGGTTGGGGGCTGATAGTTAAGGGGTGTAGCATAGTAGAGAGAGCGGTAAGTGGTACTTGGATTGCCTAGAAATGGGATCAACTCTCCTTAGGACTTTACTGTGGCTGGAGATGGAGTTGAGTCATTCTAGGAAGGAGACCCATAGGGATGATGACTTTTTTACAGCTGAGTAGTATATTCTATTGTGTTCATGTACCACAGCTTTTTTATCTACTCATCTACTTATGGGCACTGGGCTGCTTCTAAATCTTGGCTATTGTAACTAATGCTGCATTGAATATAAAGATGCATATATTCTTTCGAATTAGTGTTTTGGGTTTTTTTCAGGTATAATATTTCCAGAAGCGGAATTGCTGGGTCATAAGGCAATTCCATTTTTAATTTTTTGAGGTAACTCCATACTGCTTTCCACAGTGACTGCACCAATCTGCATTCCCAGTGCAGGAAGGAGGGTTCCCTTTTCTCCACATCCTTGCCAACACTTGTTGTTTGTTGATTTATTGATGGTAGCCATTTTGACAGGTGATATCTGAGGTGATATCTCATTGTAGTTTTAATTTGCACTTTTCTGATGATTAGTGATGTTGAGTATCTTTTCATATGTCTATTGTCCATGTGTATGTCCTCTTTGGAGAATATCTATTCAGGTCTTTTGCCCATTTTTAAATTAAATTGTTTGTGTTTTTGATACTGAGTTTTATAAGTTCTTTAGTAATTTTGGATATCAATCTCTTACCAGAGGTATCATTGGTGAATATGTTGAGGAATGTTTTCTGTTCTTGTTTTTTGGCCTTGGTCTTCCTCTCCTAGTGGTTCCTCTCCTAAGTAAACCTAATAGTCTAAGCTCAAAATAATTTTTGGCCCCAGTGGTTATATTCTGCATGATATATCTTGTTTTGTCCTTTTACTGTCTACCTATTTGCATTCAGATATTTTACATGTGTCACTGTAAGCTGTGGGTAATTTTCTTTAACCAAGTATGATAATCTTTGTCTTATCTCCAAACCATTTGCTCCATAGAAAGTTAATGTTAAATTGTTATATATTTGAGTTTAAATTTACAGTCTTTAAAATGCGATCTTTTTTTCACAACCCTGTAGTTTTTCACTTTTCTTCTTGTTTGCTTTTGCAATATTTATCATTTAATTTTGTGTCTGTATTAGTTTGGGAGTTGTATATACTTCTTCTAATCTTTTGGTAGGACCTATATACATATGTAACAGCATACATCCTTATCTTATTAAAGTTTGATATCAATCAGTACCTTTTCACCTGCTACACCAGACTGTGTAAGGACCTTTGAATATTTTAATTTTTTTTACCCTCTCCTGGTTTACTGTGCAATTATCCATCACAGGACATTCTCTTATTAAATAGCTAGCATTCATTTAGTTCTACCCACTTATTTAACCTTTTTCTTTTCTCCTTACTTACTCTTGGAAATTTCTTTAAATGTTTTGTAAGGAAAATACTCTGGTTTTTTCCTTTACTCTCTACCATTACTACCACACTCATAATTCTGACCACCAAATGCATGGGTGTTCTCCCATACTGACCAATTCTCTGCCACTAACTCATTGTCCTACAGTTCAATGGAGTTAAATTGAATCTACCTTGAGTTAGCATCAGATCCCTCAAGTAATGCTTTAGTCCCACAAGACTGAAGATGCCAGTCACAAGTTCTAGGTTATCACCTGTACTTCTTCTGACTGACTAGCTATAAATCGGGGTTCCCACTAACTCCTCCTCAGATCTGATCATTTGCTAGAACAACTCACAGAGCTCAGAGAAATACTTATTTACATTTACTGGCTTATTATGTATAAAGGATATGATAAATGATACAGATGATCAACTAGGTGCAGAGATCCATAGGGCAAGGTGTGGAAGAGTCCCAAGCACAAAGCTCTGTCCCCATGAAATTGGAGTGTGCCACACTCTAGCTATGGATGCATTCCCAAACCCAGAATTTTTATGGAGGCTTCATCACCTAGGCATTATTGATTATGAACTCATTGTCCAACCCATCTCCTTTTCTCTGGAGGATGGATGTAGGATGGAAAATTCTAAGCTTTTAATTTTGGCTTAGTCTTTTTAGAGACCAACCTCCATCCAGGAGCCCTGAAGAATTATCTCATTAGCACTAAAGGTACTCTGCTCACTCAAGAAATTATAAGAAACTCTGTGTCAGGAACCAGGATCAAAGACTAAATATTAACAGGAACTAGGGGCAGAGATCAATATATTTCTTATTTCACAAGTTTGCTTGTAGTAAACTCTTTGTTGACAGCCAGTGACTTTAATTTATCTTCATTCATGAAAGCTGTTTTTACTCTGGGAATAGTTTTTCAGTATTTTTTATCAACTCACTGAAGATATTCTTCTTCTGTCTTTGGTTATATCTGGTGAGACTTCAGCTCTCATTCTACCAACTGCTTCT